CAGACAGACAGACAGACAGACAGACAGACAGACAGGCAGAGAGACAGACAGACAGACAGACAGACAGACAGACAGACAGACAGACAGACAGACAGACAGACAGACAGACAGACAGACATTTATATACATACATACCTACATTACATAGATTGCATATAGCTTACATGGATTATAGATTACATTAATTTCATACAGACGCACGTGCATACATGATCATACATGCGTATGTACGTACATGCATGCAATGTGCATGGTTGGCTCTGTGAAGCTAAAAGCTTTAGGCCATATTGAGCTCCAAAAACGCACAAAACTCATATGCCCTCCTTTGGCGCTTGAGGCCCAAGCCAACGATGAAAAGGAGACCCACGGCTTTGACCTTGGACTTTAAAGTGACGTCAAAACGAAACAGAACCGCTGCACGCACAAGAGCAGTATACGCCAAGGATCGCTCGAGTCCCACATCGAATCTCGGCAAAAAAACCATTAAGCATCTTCATAAACTCAAGACAAGGCACTGTCCACGGAAGGCTCTTCCTGAAGAAACACACAACGCTCTGACGCAAGGATTGTCTGCACTTTCCGGCAACCTGATGGGAGCGCATGCGTAACAACATCACTTCGAGGCCCTGACAGCTGCTCACTAAAGGACGGCTTTGGTCGCGGCTTTGTTGGGTCGTGCCTCGGCTTCAGTGAGGAAATTCCAGTCCAGCTGGAAGTCTGGGTGCACTGAGTGCACTACACCGGCGCCGTTTTCCACCCACCGGTGGCAAACCTCACGTATGGGTGCAGCGGGCGGCGGAAAAGAAAACCCGAGTCCCGCTGCGGCGAACTCAGGCTGAGGAGCTCCAAGAGGCTCTGGAAAGAACGATCTCCCGAGTAACTGCAAGGAAAAACACACCATGTCACTGTGCTTCGATGCGATCCGAAAGCGTGTGGCTTCAAAGATCGCCTCCTCATGTCTCTGCCCTCGTCACTGAGCCTTGTGACTTCGCAAATCAGCTTTAGAGTTCATCCTGTGAGTGAGAAGAGTGAGCAGGCAACGTGTATTGGCCGAGGCGGACACATGAGCAGCGTCGGGTATCCAGAAATGCCGAAGCGCTTGTTGAGGGCAGGGTTCTTGGTCGAATCGACTCCTCGAAAATGCACAGAAGTTTAGCCACTCCGTCGATGCAAGCCTGCTCGGTCTAGTCCAAGGTCGTCGCTGCCAATGCGAATACCATCCTCGTCCAAGAGGAAACAGCTTTCACAAGATCAACTCCCGTCAAGAAGCAAACACCACAAACTGCATGACACGAAAAGTGCAATGCTGCGTGAGGCCAGTGCCGGCAATTCCTCTTGGGCGACCCGGTGGAAATCCTGACACAGGGATCCTGGAGTTTAGAGCTCAGGGAGCAATGCAGGCTGTCGAGCCATTGACAGCCTTCGCCATGTTCTTGCAATGCGAGCACCATGGAGCAAAGAACCTTGCTCACTCACGCGGATTGCGCTGGGAATGTCACTGCAGGCATGCATGCCAGGGGAGTGAATCGCCGACCAGCTCGAGCTGACGTGCTGAGTCTTCTGCTTCACGAAGATCGGGCCCTGCTTCAAGACTTCGTCGATGTTGCTGGTCTCGGCGCGACTTGCACAGACACATGTCGCGAGGCAGCACTAGACCTGGCCGGCACGCACCATCCCGCTGTTGACCTTCAGGCTCTGCGGCCCAGACATCCACATCGATCCAGCCCCATTTGCCCTCCTTCGCACACAAGAGTTGCCACTTGTAGCCTGTGGACTGTGCTATGCTCTGCGTCACTTTTCCTGGGACACTTTCTCGCATGGGTTTCTCCGGGCTTTGAGGGCTTCCCCGTTTAAGCGGCCCCTGTGGGCCATGCAGCCGCTTGGCCATACGTCCGCGGCATGAACCGCAGGTGTGCAGAGAGGGTAGAAAACTGAAATTCCGGGGGGGGGAAATCTCCGTCCCTTCGTCTCTTCTCAGAGGCCCCGCCGTCTCGTCTTCGGCTTCGTGCTCGCTGCGTGCTCTGCTTCTTTATTTTCCAGTTCCGTAAGCGGTCAGCCATCACTCCTGTTGAGATATGGAAAATGCTGGCCTTCCGAGATCTTCCCCGGGTTTCCAGGGCTTCTGTGAGAGTTTCGAGGTTGGGGCTGTGCAGCTTGTGCACTCGCCAAGGCGCACGGGATATGCTTGTGGAAGTGCCTAACCGTGCCTAACCTGGCGAGCTGTTTCCCGACCTCCTAGGACTCTTCTAGGCCTGGCTTGGGGCTTCCAACATAGCACAACAGCGCGAGGTCCCCTTCCCTTGAGCTGGACCTCAACAGCCGCACTCGCAACAGCCACATGCAGGGCTAGTATCTTCAAGAGGCGCATTGGCCCCATCAGTTCGTGAAGTCGCATCAAACAGAGCTGCATTGGCTTCTTCCGAGATGACTGTGTAGAAGAACCTAGAACGGATAACTCTGCTTGAAGGTGAGATATGCACTTGTTCGGGCTGCCGAATTCCTAGGAACTGCTAACAACGCTCTAAAGTCAGGCATGCACCCCTTTGTTTTGTAAGAGCGTATGTGCCCCCTCCGGTTGATAGGACAGCTCATCTGGTTTCATGCAAACGCCCAGTGCAAACGACCTCATGTTGGGGTCAACTTATCTTGGGTGTGCAACCCTCTGAGCGTGCAAAGTTTGCGGCAATTTGAAGAAGCCATGTCTGGCACACGCCATGATGCATGATGCCTGGAGCAGAAGCACAAACGCGGAGATGGGACCTTTTCACCTCTGTCCTGCTGTCAGCTTGATGGCCCCAGCTCGCGGAACTTGAGTTTCTGCCTGCCCTCAGGCAAACGCGAGCTTTCACACTTCACTGATTCAGAACCGTCACTGCCATCAGAGGCTGGGCCGCCAGGATTCAGGGTTTCAGCCAATTATCAACCTTTCAGAATGCTTTGCGTGACGACTGTCATAGCATTCACAATCTTATTGCTTGCAGTATGTACGTTCCGAGCAGTCCATGCTCGAATTCGAATCGGATGATTAGCCACATTCATGGCTTCAAGCCCCTGCTTCAGCTGTCCCCAGATGAGCTGCAATTTCCAGCTGCTGGCGCGCTTCAGGCATGTCCTTCGTCTTCATCTCGGTTTGCCGGTTCTGAAGCGTCTTGAAGCAGACGAGGTTGTGGTCTTGGAACACATCCCGTTCGATCTCATTGTCGACCATGGTCTTCTTGGCTGCCGTGAGCTGGGGCTCGTGCTGTTCCACGTTCAACAACGCTTCCGCCCTGCGGCCCTCGCATGCTTTTTGAAGGTCTGTGGCTGCTTGCAAGGCCTCTGCCTCCTGTTGCTGCACCTGCTTGGCGGCATCCAGATCTCTGGCGGCACTGTCGACTGCTTGCTGCCGTGCTGCGGCACTTGGCTCACCCGACTGGATGATCTCAACCAAGTCTGCGACTCGTTTGGCAAGCTTGTCTTGGAGCTGCGCAACCACCATGGTATCAAAGGATCCTCGCTCAGCAGGCTTCTTTACCATACAGGTAGGCAGGGCTGACATCAAACTGGCTTCCAAGTCAAGATTGCTGGCCAATACTTCCAGCTTCTTGAAGTGGGTATCCGCAAGTGCTCCTTCGACCTCACCGTCTCGAAGCAAGCGAAAATCTTCGGAGAGTGCTCCTTCAAGGGCGACTTTCTCCGCCTTTGCGGCCTGAAAAGCAACGTCTCCTTCCTTCTGCAATTTCTCCTTGTCCCCCAAATTCGATTTGCAAGTAAGGACTGCTTTGGTGGCATCAGCCAACTTTACTTTGCACTCGACCGCATGGGTGGTTGCAGCTTGGAGGGCTTCATCACACTCCGTCACTCTCAACTCCAGGCCAGACTTGGATGCTTCAATGCGGGCGACTTCTGCCGCAGCACCAGCCACGTTGTCGTTTAACTTCTTCAAGATGCCCTCAAAGATCTCGGAGACCATGTTCACATAACTCAACTGGGCCTCGTGCCGCTTGTCTTCTGGAACACAGAGGCCCTGGCAGCAAAACCACACAGCTGAACCCACTGATCTACTCAACTCACACTGGAGCAGAGCTTGTGCAGTTGGAGCTGTATCTGCCTCTGGAAGCATTGCCAAAAGCATCTGGCGAACGGAGTCCGTTAAGTTCTCCGCCAACGGGTGCTGAATGGCTTCAACGATGCCTTGGAAGCACGATGAAGCGGAAAGGCGGGAGGGCTTTGAGCATCGATGAAATTAAGACCAAAGTGGCCATCGTAAGTTGACTTCGTCACGCCGTGCTTCCGCAGCATCTCCTTCAGCTTCTTGGCCTCGCTCGCCGCGGGCTCCTTTGGCTGTCGGGGCAACTCCGAAAGGAAAGACAACAGCTAGACTGGGAAACATCACCTGGCCTGAGCTGGGCGCTTCGTGCCCTTCTGAACCTTCGACACCATAGCTCCAAGTCCAGAGACACGTAGGAGAGGACGGAGGCACGAGGGCAATGCTTCAAGCTGCGGTTCAGGTCAACGTAGACGAGCGGACAAGATTGTCAGCGTGAGGCTCACCTCTTTTTGGCAGATAGCATCTTTGAGCACTCCAGTATTGCTTCTTAGAAGCAATGCCTAGTCAACATCGAACTTCCGTTCCTTCGATGCCCATTCCCGGTATGTATCACCAAGCTCGAGCTTGTCGTCCTGAGACTTGGGAAGGTGAGAAAAGCTGACTGGTCGAAGGAGCGCTCGCTCGCAAGGTGACAGCTACAGGGCGCCGATACGCCGCTCGCGTAGAATCTACGCAAGGAAGACCGATGCTGGTTTCAGCTTGGCATCTCATCTACTAACCGTGGCAAGCAGGTCCACGACGATTGTCCGAGACATCTGCGTGAACCCATCCCCCCTGAAATCACTGCTCGAGTCACAACTGGGAATGCACTGACTGCTTATGCAGAACACCCAAGCACCGCAGATGTCTTTGACGAGCTTTGTGCCCCGGCACCGACAGCATCTCTGTAGGCGAAAAATGCAGCAGCGACAACGTCATGACTCTGCAGAACATGCAATCTGCAGCCAAGCATTGCTGTAGACGATTTGGGGGGGTGTCGCGTCTGCACGGAGCTCATCTCACAATCCTCCGAGGCTGGTCTCCTTTCAAGCAGAGTTCAGCCACCTACATCTTCCCGACAAGAAGAGCTTCGAAAGAAGCCGAGCCTCAGCTGGAGGCCTCGAAGGAGGGAATGGCCGAGCCTCGGCACCGATGTAACAGGGCCGTCCCCTGACCCTGAAATCTGCCGAAAATGCCCCCAAGTCTAACGTAGGGATGCTGTCGGGGTCGGGGTGTAGCTAGTCTACGACTGCGAAGCTCCAAGGAGCGAAGCCCAAATCTCTGAGATTCCCTGAGCCCGGCTCAGTCCCATCCAAACGTGAACTCCACGTCTGCTGGTTCAGCTTCGTCTGCAATAAGATCGTCGGTTTGAGTCCTATCAGTCACACTTGAATTTGGGACACTGGGGCACAACCCCTGACTGCTTCAACTCCCAGTATGGAATCGGTTTGAATTGCGACTGGTCCTCAGCTTCTTTGCCAAGGCCAAGAACCCATCGATGCTTCGATCGACATCAGTCGCTTGCATCGCAATCGCCTTCAGGAGTCAAGCCCGGAATTGACCAAACTGACCGAACAAGGAGTTCCATCTAGTTGGGAAAAGGGAGTAAAAGTAAAGGGCTGATGTCATCACAAACGCTCCAGACGAAGGCCTGTCTGATACCCGTCAGTGCCATCACTGCCTGGTCCATGCCTCACATCATGTCGTGAACCGAAGCGGCTCTCACTAAGCTTCCGCATACCCTGCCTTGTAGCAGTGTTGTAGGCTGCAGCTTCTCTTCAAAGGCGGGCTCCTCGAAAATCGGAGCAGCTCCACCGTCCGACGAGGTCTCGCCTGCACACGGCACACGCCCTGGAGCTACTTGAGGATCTCATGAGATGCCCAGCGCCCACCTTGTGTCGCTAATGGCAGGACAACCTGTGGACACTACAGCTGCAGCTTGGTGATCTTTGAAAACCCCGTATGGCCAATGGTGGCTTACTGCGGCCATTTGCGAGCGAAGCTGATCCCTGTTCTTGCAGTCTTCTACGAGCCTCCACGCCAGCTTCTTGTACAGAGTTGGGCTGAGACTCTTCTTCCTCCCAATGGGGCAGAACAACACCCAAACAACAGCTGCACCACTAAGTGGGAGGTACTGGCACAATGAAGGTGGTCAGACAGTCACTGCCCGGAGCCCTCTTTCAAAGGCCAAACGTTGCCTCAACGTCTTTGACGTTGGCTTCGGCAGGGCTGCCTGGCGCCTGCAAAGCAAGCCAAACTGCCCTCGATTCCGACAAATGATGCGGCACCGGACTTGGGATGTGAGACACAAACAACACAGCAAAGTGACTTCTGGTGCTGCAAGCGGTCACGTTTCGTAAGACTCTGGGATTGACAAGAACCCTCAAACAACAGAGCTTTGCATGGCCAGACAGCCGCGGTGGCCTTGTCGATGGTTTCCTGAAGCCAACCTATGCTCCGAGCAAGCAGCAGGAAGCATCAGAACCAGCTCAAGCGATGCTCTTCTCCGATGCAGTCACGACTACGCCTCGGCCGGAAGCCCTCACAACTCTGCAGTAAGTGCGGCCCAGCTGCTTTCGGACAAAGTGCCGTGCATAGCCTTTCTGATCTCCATGATGTCCATGAGACAGCGCTGCAGGGAATGAAACAATATATCGACAGGTTGAGCACACTCACTCCTCTTCGTGATCCACGCACATGGTTCGACCCTCTGGCCTGCTTGCAAATGCCGGCCATCAAGTCCGCGCTGTAGTGCAGCAGCATCAGCAGGCAGTTGTTCATCTCAGCCTACCGCGAGGACAAGCGGCCAAAGATCTTTCATTGACAACATACCTATGCATCACAGGGCGGAAGCATTTTAATGCACGTGACGCTTGCTTGACTGGACTCACCAAGGCTGAAAAGGGAAGATTGAAAAGAGAGCCGGTGCTGTCCTGGAGCCGTGGGCATGATCCAACACTAGCCGCCAGTTCTAGTTCAAACAGCTGGCTAGTCTCGACTCCCTTTGAGATGAATTCAGCCAGCTTGCCGTCAGACTACCTGAGCTTGGGCTGCATTGCCTGCCACCTAGGCACACTAGGCTGGCATCGCAAACGACACGTTTCTCGAGGGGTCTTCTCGTCCTTCGCCTGCTCGGTGCAGAGTCGCGAGAATAGCTAAAGAGCCTGGACAATCCGCCTCCCGCTACTGCACACTACAACTCCGCTCTCTGTCCGATGGATGTCCTTGCTGTGACCTTTCTGTCTCGGTTCTCTGGGCTTCGGACTCCTCTTGCACGTCGTCCTCCGCCAGTAGTGTTGCACGAAGCTTCTCGTTGGCCGCCAGTACAGATGGCTTCCGCGTATAGTACAGGACCGGTACCAACATCAAACCAGCTGTGGGATCTCCGAAATGCTGAGCACGCATTGCGAAGCCACGTCGTCCATAAGGCTGTACTTTCCCAGAAGAAATGAAACTAAAATCTTGTGAGAACACTATGGTATACTCCCAACGCGCAGCTCCATCAAATCCTTGTGGCCACGTGACAACTCCACGAAAGGTTCTCGTGTCCTCCTCATACGAAACCTGCTCAAACAGTTTCCTGCGGGGAGGTACAGAGCCATCATCCAGAACCCAAGAATCCGGAGCGTTTGCATATGATATGTAACAATTGTCCAAGCTCTCGAAATGATAGCTTGCAACCCCTTCATGGTGTCCAGCGTACACGACCCCTTGGACATACACACTGCCAAAGATCGTGCTGGGAGGAGGCGTCCAGCGCAAATAGGAAAGGTGATGGTCCCACTCATAGATCCAGGGGGCCCGAAACGGCGTGGCTTTTGTCGAGCCGTCAACCGATGTTGCAACTAGATCTCCACCGATAATTCCAGCAAAGTCTTCAGAAAACTGAATTCGGTACACCCACTTGGTCTCTCCGTCGAATGGGGTATCCCAAGAGATGACGCCGCGGAAGGTTGAGGTTTTTGCGTCAAAGCTGACATCTGTCCAGTACTTCTTGGAAGGTGGCTTGCTTCCATCATCCAAGCCTAAGCAAGAACTCTCAGTGTCTCGATGTACATTCGATCGTAAACTCCAATCTAAGTGAGGAAAGCCAAGCTTCGCCAGTGCGCCGGGGCCTGCTCGTAAGATATGTAACATTGATCTGGCGAGTCAAAATGATAGCTGGCCAAACCTTCCAGGTTTGACGGTCAGCACAGCAAACAAAACAAAAATGGCTCGTCACCCTTTTCGTCTGCCACCGGCCGCGCCTGTCTGTCCATTCTGGACGAAAATGCAACCCCACAGTTCGAGCACATCAGGTTGCACAAGAAGCTCGTTGTGTTCATCGCGCAGATTGTAGACACCTGGGCTCCCGTTTACACAACATGACATCAATCGATTGCTCTGGTAGCACTTCGCCAACTTGCATGTGTGGAAGCAGTCCATGGCCTGTGACCCACAACATCCCGCAATACGAGAGGCACCACAGACTTACACTGCACTACACCCTAGCACATTCTGGCACCTTCTGGAGCCTCGCCCTGCCAGGCCCCGCTAGGCCACGCCCGGCTGCTGCTTTCTGCGGTCGAGACACTGATATGGATTCGGCAGAGCGGGCAGTCCCCGGCCCATTCGGGCGCACGGCTCTTCAGCACCTGGATGATGCAGTGGCCTTTGTCGCGGAGACTGATCGAAAATCATCGATCGCCCAAAAGCGGCAGCAGGCGAGAATACTTCGATCCAAGCCGCGACAAAACTTGTGATTGCACGGTGCCCACAACGGATCCTCGGTCCGCAATACACTGTCAGTGCTTCCCACATGTCGCCAGAAGCAGACCCATGATATGTCACAGCATGGGCTGACGTGGGCTGGGCTCTGCAGGCTCTTCCGCACATTTCGCCAAGCGTCGTGGATCACTTGCAGGCAGATCGGACACTCGGGCATTTGGGCGAGGGAACCAGACGCTGCCAAGAATCTACAACAAGTTTCCGAGATGCGACTACGACGCGTGAAGATTGACCTGAGCCCTCGTCTGAGCGGTTTCATCATGACTCTAAGCCACGTTATTCTGAACAGCCTCGCGTTCATGTGGTCAGCAACTCTGCAACGCGTGGCATCTACAATCTAGAAGCATGCGCAGCTGCAGCCAATGGAGCCCAATGCACCGGTCGATCGAGAAATGCATCCGTCTGGTCTGTACTCTTTCGCTCAATCTTGTCTTCAGCTCTCTCATTGTCTCGTTGTGCTCCAAGCTGCAGCACCTGGAAGTGCTTCAAGGGCAAGTCGTTATCATCTCGACCGAAGGGGTTCTCAAGCTCAACTCCGATGTAGTTGAGACAACACCTGACGACGCTACAGACATGTCTCGAGAAAGACCATAGACATCTATCATCTGAATGAATGGATTCTGGATTCTGGAGCACAAGCAATTATCATCTCTGTGTTCCCATGAAAGATGCATTGCCGTGACGTTCCAGGCTCACCACATAAACCAAGGATGCTGGGGCCGCAGGTGGCAAGCTCGATGTTATGGCTCTTCTCTGCTCGTGGACAACTGCACAGTGAGCTACACAAACTCTCCACTTAAACACCATCTTTCTGCCAAATGGCTCTCGGGCTCTTGGAACATTCAGCAAATCAGAAACGGATAACATCACCGGAGTGATTCGCAAGCGCACAACAAAGGATTGTTAAGTTCACACAGACAGAAGCGACTCAGCTCTGCTGGAAGCTTAAACAAAAAATTCTACACAGCGATAGCAAAATAGCAAGTCAACGCGAAGCAGCGGGAGAACGAACTATGCCTGGCTTAGATGCCGTCCCGAGGCCAGGACATCGAGAAGATTGGAAGAAACGTGAACGTGAAGGCTAACCATGCCTGAGAGCACGGCTTAGCGACTCGAGAGTATTAGGGGGCACGTCAAACCGATTCTGTGCTGAGAGGTATGCTTGCGAAATCACCGCAGAAATCAGAACAGGAAGTAGTACCTTTCCCAGCTGCACATCGAAGACAAGTCAACAGCAAGGGTCTTCTACAGTCAACTTGTCTAAGGCTCCCGCAACGTGCAAAAACCTCGGTGGAACAAATGGATCGGCGGCCACACACCGAGTGACGAAGCAGGGAACGGTGACAGCGATACTCCTTGCACGTAGAGCGGCAAGAGCGCCGAAATGAGCTGCGCGAAAGGGAACGGAAACCTGGGACCCAACAGGCTGTTCATTCGGACCATTCCAGGTGCGAGCACAGGCCGGCCTTGTATCTGCAATTTTCTTGGCATTTAAAAGATTCACGAATCCTCTGGAGAGGGTCTGATAGACTCGAGACAGGATGGGGGGCTGCACTTTCCTTAGATGCCATCACGCACTCAAGTGTCATTCCAGTAAATATCCGATGCCCGACACAGCGAAACACCAGTGCGCGATCAAGGGGGCCGTGTCTGCTAACAAGCTTCAGCACCCCCACATCCAAATTGTGAGTAATGAGTGACCTTAGAACGATTTGCTTCACAGTTTGCACAAGGATCTTCGAGTCAGCACATGCGCATTGCACGGAGGGGCTGGATCATGTGCAGCAGCACTTCAACCCGATTGAAATCGTACTCCTGCCGGGGCAACGTTCAAGGCGGTGCACACGATGGAAGATGCTGCTGAACGGACCATGAGCTTGAAGTTTAAACTGTTGTTCCGGCCTCTGCACAGTCTGTCAAGTGCTCTAAGGTGCGAGTGGCTAAGCCATGCGAATCCTCGGCAGTTCAAGCCCACCCATGCCCAACATTCCGTCATGCTGATTGCATCTACCCTCCATCACTTCAAACAGGCATCGATGGTTTCGCAAAAGTCTCCATCTTCGCCTTTCGTAAAGGATGCGACACCTTTCCTCCCGGCTGAAAGCACCCCGAGCCTCCGATCTCCTCCAAAGCACTTCCATGGCAGAGGCTCATCAGGCCTTAAGTCTGATTCATCACGCGATCCGAGGGTATGTGCACTCATCGCAAGAAAAGATCCCGTTACAGACTTTACACACATGCTCGAGTATTCTAGTAGCACTGATAAAAAGCCAACCGTCTAAAACCCTGAAGCAACCCTCACTTCCGGCCCGTGACGCCGCAACTCAAGGTCCCTCGCAAACCCCATCAAAAGAAAACCCAGGAAGCAAAACCAAATCCAAACACTTCAACTGCACCCCCATACCCCAATCGCAAACCAATCCCAAAATTTGCCCAAATCCAACCGAACCCCGCACTGACTGCAGTAGGCCAACGACAAAGCCAGCCCCGTCTTTACAAATGCAGAACCTTCAAGCAACTTTCGCAACCTACAGCCCAGACGGCCTGTGGGGCCTTCAAGATCATTAGCAGCACTAGGGTCCAGGCGCACTATCGCATGTCGGAACCGCATTGTGTCTTGAGGCCTGAAGCCGTGTTGAGCACGGCCGTCTTAAAGCTACCCAAGTCATCAAGGCACTGTTGACGTCTAGGTGAAGGGCCTGCTTATCATTGATGCCCGAGAGAATGTCACGCAGCAACTCACCGCATCGAACCATTCTCCCCGCATCTGCGCACGCAGCAGCCGTGACGGGAGCTAGTCGAGTGTTCACAGCAAATGGCATGCCGAGTCCTGATGCAGCAGGCCAGTCCCTTCCCAGAAGCGCTCCATCGCCTTCTCTGCAACAGCTTCTCAGAAGCGCAAGGAGACAGAGCTCGATGCCCAAGCTTGCTCGGTGCATGACCCGGTTGATGCGAAAGACCAGGAGAGCATGGAGGACGCCTGTCTCCAAAGGGCACTTGGACTTGCCATTTGCTGCGGCGCTGACCTGCGCCCGGCCTAAAGAGATGATCCAAAGCTGACTTCGATGAGCATCCATCAAACCAAGCTCCTGCGCAAAGAGGAGGCCCCCTGTGTTTGCGAAGGGTCCTGGGGAATTTGTGTGACCGAAACATGTCCTGCCGCAGGTCGAACTCCAGGACATCTTGAGCCTAGATGCCGGTTCTTTGCGCTATCAAACATTTCATCAAGGCATTCAGCCTGCACGAGGACCACGGTGATCAGGGCTGCTGGCAGCGCAAAGAGGCAGGACCGAGGGAAGACGGATCCTGTTTCTCTCGCACGATACTGCCACGTTCTGGAAGCATCGTTGCATATGCATACAGTGTAACAGAAATCCTGATAAGGATCTGTCCGTGTGCTCACCCTCGTTCACGATCCCACAAGCTGTTCCAGAATCGGTATCCAATCAAAAATCGCAATTGATGATGCAGTTTCCGTCCAGGATCAGTGACGCAGCAGTTTACCGTTCTGCTTTGCCAACCATCTTAGGTTTGCTGCACCTTTCCAGTGAGTGTTTGTTTGCCAAGGAAGGAAGCGTTGTGACAGCACAACTTTAACAACCGCGGACATAGAAGGGTTTAGGGGTCTAGAGTTGTCTACAACGAGAGGACTTGCCAACAACCCTGTCTTGAGCAGACGCGCCTTTCCACTTCAAGAGCGTGAGGATGAGCCATGACTCGCTGTAGTCAATCATCAGATGTCCATCTTATGATGCACCTCATGTGGACAAGCGTCACTTCACAACAATGAAAGAGGCAGCGAGAACTGATCTTCTTCCTTCAATCAGGAACCCCACCGCTTGACAACGCTGAGCGCTTCACTGCACGCCCTCTTCGCAGCATTTCCGACGTTGGCTGATGGCGTCCGCAGATCAGCAAACCAAACCACAGTTCAATGTGCCGGCCATTTGTATCTCGTTTGTTGTGTGTAAGCTCTCATATCTTCTGCATGTCTGATCTCATGTCATCCTGGCGGCGAATATGACGAACCACTTCGCTTGTCATGCAAGCAATTCCATGACCTGTTGTTCCCATGGGCTCTACGAGCTTTAAACAGGCGGTGTTACACGTGAGAGCAATGCGGTGCCCACTGGCACGAAGGCAACCTCGTTCCCGACCCATTCTGGCTCAAACATTTTCCAGCATGTAGCGGGCTGAACTTCACAAAGAACACACAGAGGCTTTGCTGTGGCAACGACATCACCGGACCTCTTTCGTGTCCGACGCAACTGAAACCTGAGAGGCATCCTTTGGCTCACTCTTAGTCCTGCGTCGAAACTGCTCAAGACCAGGATCTTAAAGCCACAGCACCAGGCCTTCGACAGCACCCCCTGAAAAGAGAGGGGCCGATGGTCCGAGTTCCTTGTGACGCTTGAAGTCTACTGTAACTCTTCTCCTTACATCCATCTGATTCTGCCTAGGGGCAACAGCGACCGACGCAAAGGGACATTTCGACGGAGGGAGTGGTCGAGGCAGTGCTCGGCACTGAGCAGCTGCAGCCGTGCAGCGCGCACGGCGTGCAGCGAGTCCCGCAACGCTTGAGGCGCCTGCAGCGAATCAGGCGAATGGGCCGTCTCTCAAACCTCTCAGAGTCGCCGCTGCGCAGGTGCTTCCGCCTCGATTTGGGAGTGCAGCTGGACCACGTCTCGGGCGGCGTGGGACACCGACGCTTCCATCTCTCCAAGGCCTCTCCGAGCCTCACTGCACTGCAGCAGTGCAGCAAAACACAGCACAGCTGTGTTTTTGTGCAGCATTGAAGGAACCTCTTGGCAGCGCCGATGCGCGTTTTTCAGATGAATTCGCTCGCAGAGGGCCTTGCGGGACCGCCCCTCAGAAAATGCCACAGCCAAGAGCGGTACTGTTTCCGCCTGAGAGACTTGAGCAGCGTAGCGCTCGAAAATTTGGAAACTTGGGCTTCCCATGGCCTTGCCTGCAGGCACGAGTAGTCAGTAGTGATGCAATGCCTCCTGAACCCCTGTACTTTGACTTGCCTTGCCATGCGCCAGCCGTGGTGACGGCGAAGTCACCCTGCATACTCGGATTCGAGGAGTGCGCTGTCGCACCACCCTCCGGAACGATGGACTGAAACCTCAACAATAACTGGGCAGGCAATGATACGGCGTGTCTGGCAGGGATTCAACATGGGCCTACAAGCAACTGGCAGACTCCCAAGAAAACCACTGCTGTCCCAAGCACTGCTTCCAGAATGGATCATCATGTGCCAGCTGGTTGAACATGCTAGGATCCATGTTGAAGTCTCCGAGGAGAAGACATGGCACTTGCAACCTCCCGTCGGCTCCCTGACCGGCTACGGACTCCAGCGCGGCCCGCAATGGTTGCAAATAGTCGGCGAGAGTCATCCGAGAGCGAGAAATCATGCTCGGCACATGCAAATGCACCGAGCAAATGACCAGCTGTTCCCCGTCGTTTGGTCGTTCCACGCGGACCACAAAATGCTCACGAGACACCGTCACTCGACGACCGAATGGCTTGAAGCTCAACACCGCGCTCTGCTGGCAGACACGCTCTGCATTTCGCAGTATCAAGGCAGAGCAGGATTCTACCTGCACTCCGCGGCCATCTAAATCGTTTTGTCCACGTACCATGCGGAGGCTCAATGTTCCCAAGGCCTCGCAAAACAACGGATCTGCTTCCTGGACGGCAATAACATCATAGCCAGAGGCCCACCGTTGCAGTTCACCTGGCGAGTACCTCACCTTGAGGTCTCCTATTGCGTCAACGATGTCCTGCTTGTGATACCCCATTCTCTGCAATGTGGAAACCCAGACGCAGTCCTAGGCTGTTGCGTTTGGACAGTCAGCAAAGTGCCTCGAATTTGCAATGTGCCGGTCACTGCTGCCCAGCATCTTTCTGGAAGTAGCTAGATTTTCTGTGCTGATTCCAGGCAGCAATCTTCCAAGGTTGAACGTGCAAAGGCAGTACACTGGAAACCTGAGACTGCAGGCAAGGATTCCGCCATACCGGCCCAAGATCGAAGAGAAAACCCGCCCTTTCTTGAGGCCCCTACAATCAATGCCACTACGAGGAGAGAGATCGAGGCGGGGCCCTGGCTTCGAGCCATGGCTCCAGAACGGTTCTAGCCCATTCTGCCTCTGACCTACATGTCCAATCATTTCCTCATGTCAGACTATCTACAACACACGTGTTGACGAAGACCAATGTCTTTGCTCTTTGCCTCTTGCTCCCTTATCTGCTGGCAGCACAACTCCTTTGATGCGAGCGGTGGGCCCTTGTTTTGGCTAGCGACATGGAAATCCCCAGATGCAGATGCTACAGCCTGCAATTTTCTGACACGGCGGCGAATGTTACGATACAAGCTGGTCTTGTTATGTACAGAAGATGTTGCAAGAATCCATGTGAGCGACAGTCAAAACTTGCTGAATTTGGGCAAAAGCGAGGCTACGCATGTGCGGAAGCATCATGAAGCGATGAGTGAGCTTTCTGCAAGGATCTTGGCACAGTAGGTGCTTTGCCTGGTAAAAAAGTGGTGAACAGAAGGCCTCAAGCCTGGGAAAGTCAGCCCCGCAGATTCCATTCCGAAGCCATAAATCCTGAGCTTGAAGATTCAAGTTTTGTAGTGGATGGCGCCCGCCCCCTGTGAATGTAGAGAGAACGGCAGCATCGCAGGCTTACGAAAAAGCAGGCAGACTGCTTTTGATGCTCTTGGCTGCACAGCCAAGGGAGGAACTGGCCGTTCTCTTACAGTGTGCACATCATCATGTTGTGTACGAAGTGTGTACGACCAAGAAAAAATGCAATAAGCTGCACCACGAATCGCATGCTGACCAGAGCAAAACCTCCTTACAGCTCTTCCCTTCTATCGAAATTTCAGCCGAAGCCCGGAAACCAGATGGTTGCCAATCCTACACCTTTTTCCAGGCTATCGGAGCAAGGGGATATTCCCGTCCTGGCGAAGCACAGCTGCAGGATAGAGAAGAAAAGTCATGACGATCTGTTTAAATATGAAACCCTGCAGCATGCAGTGCTGGTGAAACGGCACACGCGGAGCCAGTGCCACGAACCTTTCGGTAAGGATCGTAGACTTCTTGAAGCTTGTGCACATTTCGACCTTGCAGCTCTATGGCTCCATCATGGCAAGACAGACTGACGCGGTTGCGTCAGCTGCGTCAGTCGAAGATTGGGGCTCCAACGAGACAAGAGTTGTACAAGTGCGTTAAAAAGGACCAGGGCCCAGGGTATAACAAGCAGATATGGCGAGTCGACACATCTGACTCAAAACCAGTGTCATGTCAGGTTTAATCCATCCTGAGCCCTCTTTACTCGCCCACAACCTGAATTACTGCTTCCGCAGCGATTTGCGCGAAGCTGCAATGGGTTTGCTCACATACTAGTCTCCGGGAACTGTGTGACTTGTCCTGGCCTGCTTAAGGTAATTGGACCACGGCTGGGGTGGCGACTACTGGATATTAAGAGGCATCATGGTAATAGTTTAAACGACGAGCTAGCGTCAGCCTTGGTCGCGAACGTGCGAAGACGGAGCTTGACTTCGTCCTCCAAAGCCTTCTTTGCAGCACGAAGCTAAGGTCTTTACAATCTCGCGAATCCTGCTCGCAGCCAGCAACATACATGCATACCGAAGAGGCCTGTTCAATTGCCTTCACGAAGCGGCTGCATCGTCCTGCCGACTCTCCCCTCGCAAACAATCCGTTGGAACTCAGGACGCCCATCTTCGAGCACGCGTTCATGGAGACACACATCTTCTGACACATCACGGAAGTATGCAAAGAAATGGTCCCTGCACGTCCTTCTCCCAACGATCGAACTTATCATCCACCCAATATCCGACCTGCTGCAACGATGATCAAGGCTTCAAGGCATCAAAATGAGGGTTGATGTTTCACACAGCAGTAACAATACCAACAATAAGCTGAATGAGACGCTTGGAAATAACCCTCCCGCGCACTCATGGTCCTGAGTCAGCACTGTCTGTAACTCCGACATGTTATCCAAAACTTTGAGAGTGAGAGGGTCACCTTTCTCTCCGCCTTTGCGGTGATGTAGGTACCGCGGCCTCGCAAGTGCAGGTCACGAGAGTCTCTGGAAGACTCCCAAAAAGCCAGCACAGCCCGAGCTGATTGGGTGCCGCTCCATGTCTCTTGCCCTCTCTCCATTCTCCATCGTACGTTCGACCTCAGACCCATGCAGGTCCGCACCAGGAATCTATGCAGAGAGACAGGGCATCACAGGGCCATACCATCTGGCCAGATGAACATGCCATGCCCATCCTTGAGATCCTCCTGCAAGCATGGACACTGGAGATCATCGTCAGAAGTAAGCGCCACTGACAGGCCTTGTACTGGCCCTCGTAGACTAACATGCCTTTTTGAGTGTGCCAAACCTCACACAACATCACACACTGAGCCGAATCCGCAGTCACTGCTTAGGGCCACACCATCTTTCCAGTTCCGGAGAAGCGACCCTTGCTGAACTGTCCTCGCAGGGCCCACTCATGGATGCAGAGCTTGCGCCTTCCAAACCTATTCTTTGCCATGATTCAAGGATGCAGGTCGCTTGCAAGTTGTACAAGGGACCCCGGAGGTAGAGAGGAAAGAAAGCCAGAGGCGGACACAGAGAGAGAAAGACAAACGGAGAGGGAAAACCCCCTCCCTCGACGAGTAGTGCACACCTTCGTAGACGCGTCCATCACTCCAGGTCTGACGGCCATGACCATCCTGTTGATCTTCCTGCCGTGGGAGGCAATGCAAAAGGCTGTGCCAGCGCACCCAAAACGCGTGCCGCGTGCCTTCCACTGGCCCTCGTACTGGCAGCTCTTCGACTGCCAGACACCGTGACCTGCAACCAGTAGACGAGACAGCATGGCGCGGCATGTGCAATTTGCGAGGCTTGTGGGGTTCCGGCCGTGGCGCTTGCCATTCTTGATCATCCCAGTATAGGTAGAGCCATCCTGCTGAACTCGCGTTCTCGGTCAATAGATACAGCCTCTTGCAGCTTCATCAGCCCACTATTTTATACAGTAAAGTACACCTGGCGAATGAATGTAAATGCTGGCAACTTGTAGGGTCGGTAAAGCTTCAGGGGACTTCTTTAGCTGCCCTGCAAACTGTCACGAGCAATGAGCAATGGGAGCCTGGTACGTCACGAATTGCCGCTCCTGCTGCTGGCTTCTGCTAACGAAGACAACAGCTTCAAGGGATAAAGCCACAAAGATGGACTCTAAACGTGGCCTCGTCCGCCGCGATGTCGTCCTTTTTCGACTCCTGGCATCAGAGAAATCGCCTGAAAACGCGGACTTCTTTCTCTCTCTCGCATTCACGTGCTCTTTCGCACGCTGGCCGTACCTCTGCAGCGTTGGCTGCAAAAGAGCCTTCCGTTCGGGAGAAAAAAGCGCTTCAACCCGTCGCAAGGCCGGGCCCGGCCAGGCCTGCTTCTAAAGACTCCGGTTTGATGTCCTTCGCAAAAGCCACTGCCCAGTTGAGGGAACTTTTCCATATCGAAACTTTCTGGATGTGTCCACATCCCACGGCTTTACATGCCTGAACTGACACTGGCAAGCGAGTATGTCCTCATCTTTCATACCAGGAGCTGGCACGGGATCAATGCCTTTCACCTGATAGGACTCCACTATAATCTCTGCGGATCTGCCATTCTAGTCCCAGCCTCATCTCGCAGAGGATCAATAGGTCCGTGGCCCTCAGAGCGCAAGAGGGCATCGACTACACGCAATAGAGACAGAAACTAGCTGCACAAGCACGCAAACACGCAAGGCCAATAAGCAGGGTACGGGATCGTTTGACGCGCCGGTACCACAGCAGCGTGAATCTGAAATCAGCTTCGGGAATGGTTGTCTCAATCTTTCTCACGCATTTCTATCCTCCAGGCTTTGGGAGTGGATTTGGGGGGCTCTTATGGTCGACCTTTTCCCTGCCATCCGCACCGTTGGCGTACAGGTGCTTAAATTCTCTCGGGTGGCAGACGGCTGAGATGTGCCATTCAACGCGGGGGGCCTCCACCAGATGAACAGCATGTTCCTGCGTTTCCCATGGTGGCTCCTCAGCCGCGGAAATTCAAAACTGAAGGGTCTCGACGCGAAAAGAGACAGGAATGCATTGAATGCATCCCAAGCTTCAACGCCCAGCTTTGACTGAGCCGAAGCCTTGAGCCCTCTGGCCGAGAGCACTGCATGAGCCGGAGACAAGCAGGGGAAAACTCTAAGTTGCTCTCTCAGCATGGGTACCAAGGACCTGGAACAGCAAGCCACACAACAGTTTTTGGCACGTATCACGAAATTCGCGCTGGGTCCGTACGACCATGAAATCTACCAGCGCGAGTCCTGAAACACAGAGGTGCTGAACCAGTAAACATAGGTGCTGGTCACTAGCACCTCTACTGACCAGCAAACTTTGGTGTTGGTCAGAATGCCACATCGCTGCAGCAGGGTCTCACAAATCTGCTCACAGCAGAACATCGGAGGCTTGGGCAGCCACGTGCCGTCTCGAAACAGAGCACAGGCGAAGGAATCTCAGGTGGTCTGCCCCGAGTAGCCCTGAGAATTCAAGCGGCTGTGGACAAATCACCACTACACCTGATAAGCAAGCTGAGGATCTCTCCACTGGACTGGTCACTTTGCTCCACTGAACATTTTTGAAAGAGCTGCTCCGGGGCTCAAAAATAAACTCCGGGAGATGTGCAGGTGCCTATCTGGCTAGAATGTGTATGAGGGATGCAGTGCACCGCTGATGCATCCTGGTTCAAGCAGGGGGTTGCATGCAGGATGCAGGAGCCCAGCCTGCACCTATCGGTTCCTGCCTACACTGTGCAAAAAACTCTCCGACCCCATAGCACCCATTCCAGCAGCTCTGAAGTTAAACAAGGACGCTACGTGAGTCAGCCGAAAATAGTTTGCAAACATCAGCTGCGAAGCTCTGACACAGGCCCATGCGAACCTGCCCAGCACATAAACCCTCCAGATAAACTAACCTAACGTCGCCAAGATATCTCCGCATATCTCTTCCCGGGGCTTGGGGCTCCGGCAGAGGTCGGCAAGGAGGACTGCACCTTCCAACATCTTCCAACATTCAAACTGCTCAAACATAGCTCCAGGACCGCACGAGATGCCTTCTGCAAAAGCGTCTTCATGGTTGCAATTCGGTTTGCTTCCTCTTGAGCTTGACGCTTGGCCTGGCAACAACGGCACTAACATGACCATGTACTGTACATAGTATATATGGACATAAAAAAATATAGACACATATATATTTACAGAGTAAATAGCATGGAAGACTTAAAAATTATATATACTACTAATAAAAGCAATAATAATACTGATAATGGCAATAAACGTTATCTTATGCTATATATCATATGAAACAGTGGATGAATAAAATGTCAAAAGTCATGCGTATGATATAACATGTGATATATAATATAGAATAAATAAAATATATTATATGATATGTGTATATATATATGTATGTATGTATATTCATTTTCCTAGTCTCCAACACTCGAGACATCGCCCAACAGCCCCAGTCGCACGGCCAGAAATTTTTGTGCGACCGCAACGTGGAAAGAGGGCGCGTACGCACCGCGACAAACAAACGGTTCAAGCTCTTGAACCACGCCCCAGAAAAAAAAGCACACCACGCCTGCTGCTGGTGGCAATCTCCTGAACTGGGAAGTCTGCGGCTGAGCTTTTGGGCCGCGATAGGGGCCGGCTGCACAACGACTTTGCTGGTCAAGGATCAAATTTTCCCCACGCCGACGATCGAAAATCCGGGCCGATCGGCTGATCGCCAAAATGGCGACGGAAAGATCAGATCGCGGCTGTCTTCAAATCTGTAAAGTGACCTCCTCATCCCTACCTACCAGACCGATAATTAGGAGACATATCATACACAATGTATGATATAATACAACACATATATATATATATGTATATATGTCCTGTAACTGCAGGTGGATTCAGCTGCCAAGCCTCCTTTTCCTC